GGGGGGGGGGGGGGGAAAGAGAGAAAGGGGAGGGGAGAAAGAGGGGAGAGAGAATTATTTTATGAAAGATATGTAGCTGCATATTACTAATTGCATTTTTTTTTTAAGCAACGATGTATTTTTATTATACCAGTGGATTAGTCTCATAATTCTATGCATAAAAGTATCAAGGTACAGTTATCAAAATGTGACCTTAAGAAATTAATCCGCATACACATACGACGCTGCCGAAGTCACCATATTCAAAATAGCTCCTATCTTTAATCGTTCATAACATGGCTAAAAAGTAAGGTATTAAAATAAAAAAAAATGCATTTTATAGGGGATGCACAATACATTCATGACTTCTGATCGAAATTTCAAGATAACGTTAACCTTCTTTATTAAAAAATGTGAAATATCGCAAAAAAAGTTATTTTTGAAGTATTAAACCTCAATTATCTTGGAAATCCGACGTGCTAGAATTTTTTCGCTTGCGGCATTGTTCTCAGCATCCAAAAATCTATACAAAACACGTAATTCGGTCCAAAGTAATTTTTTGCTGTAAACTAGTGTTATCATAGATATGATCAGTTCAATTATATAATACCATATTGTTTATTTTAATATTGGTATAATTTCATACAAATAATTGATTTGATAGCCGTAATGTAAATTGATCAAAATAAAGTAAAATAAGTAAAATAACTTATACAGGCATACATCGCTTGGAATAATGGGGAAAGTCTATGGCGCATGGCGGTTGGTCACTTTCGCTGATCCAAGTCACTCCGTTTTTACCCTGTTGAATCAGATTTAACACCGCAAGTGCTACGTTATCAGGTGTCTGTTTCGGCATGTTCTCCATAGCAACGATCTCATCGGTTCGTATAGGGCGAATGGAGTCATAAATCTTATTGCTGATGTTTGTGATTAATGGTGTTGCTGTAGCACCCGGACACATGATAATAACTCGCACTCCAGTATTGTCGTACATACTTGCCAGAGATTGGCTGAATCCTAGAACGGCACATTTCGAAGCGGTGTATATTGGCAAAAAATAACCTAAAAAAAAGGTTTTTGTGAGAGCCGAGTTAGATATTTTATGCTAATATATAATTTACTATAACTTTTAGTATTAATGTTATGAGTAAGAATGTCAGCATCAAATATTTTTGTACGACAAAGGATTTATATCTTTATTATATAAATCTTTATTATATGTTAATTTAACATTTTTGTAATACTGAGAATGATCTATTATTGAAAATTTGAAATGTTTGTTGGTGTATTATGTAATATTACTACTAAAAGTAAGTTATACATATGTTAGTATAAAATAGCTTGGCTTATAAGATTTTTTCATGATATTAAAATTTATTTATACAATCCTGTTTACAATTTAAATTAAATTTTAAAATAACCTGGCTCTAATGCAGCCATGGATGAAATGTTCACTATTACACCACCCTTGCCGCCTTTATGCTTCCCCATATAGTCGAATGCCATCATAGAGTTGCGAATTAGTGCCTTAACATTAACATCGATCGTTTTTTCCCAATAGTTATCGTTAAATATAGCGGCATTGTTGATAAGAATATCAAGTCCTTTGAATGTATCAACAATCTTCTTGAACGTCTTCTCTAAATCATCGGCCTTTGTCACGTCGCAGGCAACGAAAACGACACGGCCCTTTCCAAATTCGTTCTCCAAAGTAACCGCCGCATTCTGACCGTTTGATGTTGATAGATCGATCATAGCAATGCTTTTTGCACCATTGCGAAGTAGTATTTCGACGAACTTATATCCTAATCCGCCAGCTGCTCCAGTGATCATTACAGTTTTATTACGTACGTCGTACATTATACTGATTTCTTGAAGACTTCGATAACGTGAGATATTGTAGCAAGGTGTGAGATTCTTTAGCGAATCGCAATACACTGTTTATATATATAATATATATAGAATCCACCTATTTTAATACTTCTTTTGATGATACGTGAACGATGATGATTCGTCAGCAAATCTGTTCCTGGTAAAAAATTTTTCATGCATGAATATGTATAAGTATGTGTAAACATATATAAACACAGATAAATATTTATATACATATAATTATATATAAATATAATAATATAATTAACATTCATATATAATTATATTAATTATATATGAATTATACATGTATAATTATATATAAATATGTCCATACATCGCAATATAGTTAATATATATATATATATATTTATAAGTCAAGGCTTTTTTAAACGAGCAATTATAGCAGTTATTCATAAAATAAAATTCGTTTTTTAATTAAATAAGTATATATAAAGTTTATCAAACGTTTTAACTTACAAAGTGTGCCTTCTAACAAGCAACACAGTACAACACAATGATCATTTCATCCTTCTTTAACATTTTCGAACAACAAGGACGTACTGATACACCGTGTCATCTGTGTCGCTTGTTGGAAGGCACTAAAAAGTCTTCCTCAGTGAAATACACAACATTTTTATATAACCCCTTACAAAGTCAACGAACTTACAATAATACGTAATTATAAATATTAAATTATTAATAAAAATTATCGCTCTAGGCTAATCTTACATACCTATTTCTACATTTAAATGTTATGGATCGAAATAGGTAACTGGTCAGAAGTTTGAAGTCCAAATTATAAAAGTGTGTTTTACTCGGTTGTTGTCAAGAATCCAGCTCACAGTCAACGATTTCATAAAAAATGTACGATAGTCCGATCAAGAATTTCTTCAACGACTATCCTAATATATTCTGTATAATAAATGTCAATTTATAATTAAATGATTAGTATAAGTTAATTGAATAATAATGAGAAATTATGTTCAAACTTACGTTAATTAATATAGAATAGTCTATTAAATTAAAATCAAAGTCAAAAACTGTATCCTAAAACAGCTCTTGCTTGTCATACGTTTTAAAATGTACTGATATTATAGGTCAGAGAATCTATATCGTTAAGTCATAACCATCGACATCTAGAACGGACCGCTGATGACAATGGTGGGGGTAGAAAGACGATTAGAGTGAGAGGCAGGAATAATAAGATCGTTCTTTCTCTGTTTACTGAAGCCTGATTGGTTGTTGTTAATCCAAC